GAAGGAAGGAAGGAAGGAAGGAAGGAAGGAAGGAAGGAAGGAAGGAAGGAAGGAAGGAAGGAAGGAAGGAAGGAAGTTAGCCTGAAATTCAGCCCCTTTACAAGAGATAAGACATCATTTTCATGGGGTCAGTGAAATGAAAAGATTGAAACTACTTTGAGCAGTGTCATCAGCATTCAGAATATCTAGCAGCACATCAGAGAATGGGGAAAAATTGCTTGTTCAATCACTTTGAGAGATGTTATAACAAGAATGATCCTTTGCACAGACAGAATAATGCTCCGGAGAAAGGATGCTGGCAAGGACATTTTTTTTTTTTTTTTTGCTTTTTTCTTTTTTTTTTTTCTTTTTTAAGCATCCAAGCAGCACGGGCCATCGTTCTGCACACAACAGTGCACAGAGTCACAAGTTTTCGTCTAGATTCCTGAAGCCGAGAGTCATGGGAATCCGTCACCACACCAAGAGGATGAACGAAATTTAAATGACAATGAAGAAACAGCAAGTCCTGAAGCCAAGCAAACAGACAATCTGCAAATCAGTTTATTTCTAAGTGTTGAGACTCGATTTACTCTGAGGCGAAGCATTCAAACCAGTGTCCTACAGACGTTCATAACCCCAAAATGTATTAACTGTGTTGGGGTGCTGTGCAGCAGCTCAGCTTCTCATCATCAAACTGCTCCCTGTTTAAAATGAGGTACCAGAGAAGTGGGGGGAGGGGCAGCTGTGAAGCTATAGCTTAGCAAATTGATTACACTGACAGGTGCCGCAGCCCGACTCCTGAGATCACTCACGTTCAAGTCTAGTAATTTTTATTAGTCAGAGAATCACAGCTGCCAGCATCCACGGGCCCCTTCAAGGAGTGTAGAAAACACAGCACAGAACAGGGGTAGAATCTACATTGGTACCCCCCCCCTCCTACTGTTTCTCTTTCTGTTAAAACAACCTGCCAACAGGAGTAAGAGTGAAATAAAAATCAATAGAAGAGGCTGGAAAACAGCAGCATAGACACCACATCACGTGGACTAGCCTGGATGAGAAAGTCGGTCACTGGCTTTGGGAGCCTGTGCCTGTGTATGATGAGACATCAGTACAGTCAACGTCTCAGTCACAGTCCTCTGTCTCAGTGTGTGTGTTCTCCTGCGGCCACCGGCTTCACCTTCCTGATGAAGCTGGGAGATTCTGTGTGTGAAAACAGAAGAGACCTGTGTGCCCAGCCACAGGCAAATTTGTCCTCGTTTTTCTTACTTCCTTATTTTATTCCCTACATCAAGCTTAGAGAGATATATCTGCATTTGATTTCAGAGAGAATACACATTTGTGGCATCCCATAAGTGCCTAACACATAGCAGTAATCATTAAGTAAATGCTAACCCATTATTATGACAGATCACACGTGCCATGTGCATCTAATACAAGCA